GTGGATGGATGGGTGGATAGGTGGATGGATATATGGATGGATGGATGGATGGATGGATGGATGGATGGATGGATGAGTGGGTGGATGGATGGATGGATAGGTGGATGGATGGGTGAGTGGGTGGATGGATTGACGGATGGATGGATGGATGGATGGATGGATGGATGGATGGATGGATGGATGCGTGGGTGGGTAGATGGGTGGGTGGATGGGTGGGTGGATGGGTGGGTGGGTGGATGGGTGGATGGGTGGATGGATGGACAGAAAGACAGACAGACAGACCAATGGTAGAATGGATTGACAAATGAAGTATTTGTGTTGAGGACAGCATTGAGCAGTGGTGCACCTGTGAGTCACTGTGATCACGCCTCATCTTCCCTACCTCTTCAGAGTCAGACACTTCAAGGGATTCTAAAAATCAATTTGTCCAAACCTTTTTCTGAGAAGTGAGGAACTAAAAGCCTCTGACAGTTTGGATTTCTCACTGAAGTTCACACTTCTGCTGGGCTGCAGAGCTGGAGTCAAAGGAGTCTATTCCCTGACTCCCGTGGTTTTTTGTTTTGTTTTGTTTGAGCGCTTAATTTATTCTGTACTGTGCTTATCTCTGAAAGACCATGACGAGTCAGTTGGGACTCTAGACATAACTCATATTATATCAGTTTAAAAAGAATAGAGCATCTCTCCTCTTTGTGATGATAGTGTCCATGAGTTTTGTTTGGTTCAATTCTATAGGGTACTATGCTTATCTTAGCGTGCTATTGCTGTAATAAGACACCTGGCCACAGCAACTCATATAAAAGAAAGCATTTAACTGGGGCTGGCTTACAGTTACAGAGGTTTAGCCTATTATCATCATGGTGGGGAGCATGGCAGCATTCAGTTCAGGCAGGCACGGTGTTGGGAGTAGCTGAGAGTTCTACTTCTGGATCCACAGCAGCAGGAAGAAAGAGGCTATGGGCCAAGCGTGGGCTTTTGAAACCTCAAAGCTCATCCCCAGTGACACAAGGCCACGCTTCCTACTTCCTCTCAAGTCGTACCACTCCCCGATGGTCATGCTTTCAAATATGTGGGAGTCATTCTTACTCAAGTCACCACAGTACTGGAAAGGAATCTACACTCGTTGTAGGTTTTTCTAAAAGACAGTTTGTAATGGAACTATGAAAATCAGGATGGCTGTTAAATTAGAAACATAAACCTACTATCATAGAGGTGTCTCTGTCTTATGTCCCATGATAAGTACTGATATGCAAATAAACCCCAGTCTACTGGAGACCGTCAGTAAACCCTGGAGTTACCCGACGACATATGAAAACACAAAGTATTCGCAACAGACCATTGACAAAATACACAAATAAAAGCTTTGTCTGAATTTTAGCAGTCTGTTGTGTACTTGTGGTGTGATTAATATGTGTAATTGGGACAGATTAGTATGGATCATTCAGAGGAAAAGCAAATGTGTTTGTAGTGTGCTAGGGGATGCTCTAATCAGCAGAGCTCAGACTCACAAGGATTCTACGTAATTCTGTGTTGCTACCGCTGCTGCTGATGTGGTTGTTTTAGCACCTCGAGTAAAAAGAACACAGATCTCTGAAAATTCCTACAGGTGAAATTTTCTCTGTAGTTTCCAAAAAATGTTTTCAAGTAATCATTGATCCTGAGCCTTTTTTATACGACTTTCCAAATATCTTCTTTAGACTCTGATGTCAATAAACTAAGACCCCCAAGTGTTTGTGTTTAACTTTTCATCTCTAAGGTCAACTGGCCCATGAAACTCAAGCAAGTTTGTGCTTCAGAAATAAGCACGCCTTCATGTGCAGATCTTCTTGCTAGATATAACTTTTCAGCGTGTCTTCTCAACCCCAAAATTGTACTCTAAAGGTTTTGTTTTCTATTCTGAACCAAACCAAAGTCTTCCGATAAGACTGGTGTGCCTGTTCTGAGAAATTGTATTACTTGGGGTAAAATATTTCATATTCTCACCTGTGAGAGACATGTTTTATTTAGTGGGTTGCTTTTCCTTTTGAATGTTATTTCTTTGTTTCTAGAATCAAATTTTGAGTAACAACAGAAAGTCTGGCCCGCTATTTTCCTTTAAAATGCTTCAACTAAATTAAGATTAAAGCATGATATAGGCAGGCTCCTTTTCAACTTTCTTTCATGACAGAATTGCTAAATTGTAAAATAATTGAGTAGAAATTAAGCTAAAGAGATATTGGGATCCTAAGTAGAAGTTCTGAAGGGTGTGTTTTCAGAAAGGTGCTGAACTCTGGTCTTCTTAGGGAGAAACGCCACAGTTGAGCTGATATTGTCTGCTTTGTTCCTAGGTCCAGCGCCACCCGCTTCCGCTGGAGTCAGAGCTACTACACAGCCCAGGATGAGTGGGCTTTAGACAGCATTTACATTGGGCAGCAGTGCCCCAACATGTGCAACGGGCATGGCTCATGCGACCACGGCGTGTGCAGGTATGTGCTCCTGAGAGCATAACCCATCCTGAGTTTGTGTCTGTGGGTTCTTCCCGGAGGTTACTGCAAAGAATCAGACATAACAAAAGAGCCAAAAGAAAGTGAGTCTCCCTTCTGCTCTTATTTTTCATGTAAAAGAACTGTTACATGAATGCAAAGCCATATAATATATATATATAGATATATATATATATCATATATATTCTAAACCTCTAAATCTAAACTTAAGAGCAGGCCTCCTGGGTTAACCTGAAAGCCTGGCTGTTAGTTCCCACCCACCCCTCATCATCCTCAGTTAGTCAAACATTCCACTACACTCTCTGCTACGCTGCTGCTGCTTCACTTGAAGCTCAAGGTTGTGCAAATGGGAAGAAAGTGACCACACTTGAATCCTAAAAGACCCCCAAATGTGTGATTTAATCAGAGCTATAAAACATCACAAGAGTGGCCGGTTAGTTGAATAAATGAACCTACGTATATGATATCTTTAAAGTCGTGGGGAAATCTCAGCCTCTCTTGCACAAACATAAGTCCATGTGTCTTTCATTACTTCTAATCTTAAATCCCACAATTTTAACATAATACCTGTAAGTAAACATTCTACCCATTTTGAAGAACGTGAAAAACGGAAGATAGTACCATATCATATGTCCATTGATGCTGCAGAAAGATTTGGCGTAAGGATGAGACCCAGGGGAACATGGTATGTGGGACAAGGAGGAGAGCATTGTGTCGCTAATGACTTGGCGATTTTCACTGTTCTCATAGGTGTGACCAGGGATACCAAGGGACCGAGTGCCTCCCAGAGGCTGCTCTTCCTTCCACAATTATGTCAGATTTTGAGAACCCAAACGGTTGGGAGTCTGACTGGCAGGAAGTTATCGGCGGAGAAATTGTAAAGCCCGAGCAAGGCTGTGGGGTCATTTCTTCTGGATCGTCTCTCTACTTCAGCAAGGTATGCCCAGAAGTCAGAATGAGCCATCATCAAGGCAGTGGCTGGTTTGACAGGAGACTTGTTCACAGGCGTGCTGAACTCCACAGGTACAAACAGGGAATGGTTTTATTATTCTTCATGCCCTTCATCGGGCTTAGCCATGTGCCGGTCCTATTGTGACATCAGGAAACCCATCTTATTATTGATATGAATTACTACAATTACAGATTAAGCCAGCTTAGAGTTCCTAGTACTCTTGTTCTTCTCTGTGCAGTGCTGGGACGGAACAGACAAACTCTGACATGGTGGGCAAGCATCCTGCCACTAAGTGACATCCCAAATCCCTTCACCCACCAACGCTCTTGCACTTCAGTTAAACCCCATTGCTTTCCTGTGCCCCAGTGCTGTGCGGGCTTCTGTCTTGAAGGCTGTTGACTAGAGCAGGCTTTTCATCTGTCGTCGCTCCGCCCTTTGAGACTCTGTGAGAAGACACGCCTAGGATGAGAGACAGACAGGGCTGGCTGGAGGAGCCTAGAGGTTAGAGAAGCTAGTCTCCGTGTTTGATTCAGTCTGATGCTACCACTTCCTAGCTGCGTGTCTGTGGGCGTATCACTTCGTCCTCTTTCCGCTCACCTCCTCATCCACAAAGGGGGCAATGAGAGAGTCCTCTTCGGTAGAGTTCTTACGTGGATGGAGTTAGTGAGGGCTGACCCTGGAGCAGAGTCTAGGGATTGTGTTTATTGGATTTGTCAAACTGTGAATCTCAGGACTCTGGTTGGAGGAGGTAGGAGTGTTGAGAGAAAGGGAGTGGATACAGAGCCATTCCTGAAGGGAGGGGGCTGACTGTTGAACAACCGTAGCTCAAGGGCTGGTCTATCTTAGTTTGGCGACTACTGATAGACCCTACTGGTGTAGAATGCTTCATCAATCTTGTTCTTGAAGCGTTCAGCTTTCCTGGTTGTAGCACCCAGTTAGGCATGCACATTGGTAAATGTCAACAAGGGACTCAGATGCCAGGCACTGGCGGAACTGCAACAACCAATTCTCCTTGAGCACCCCAATCCACGTTGATTTGCTGAGAATGAGAGGGGAGCCCCCTTCCTCTCCTCCTACGCTGTCGTCCAGGCAGACCGTCTTCTGCACCCTGCTCTGGTTCATCTCCAGTGAAAACAGAAAAGACAAAGAGCAGGCGCCAACCTGAGTGACATGTCTAGCCCTAAGCATGGGCAATTGTCTTCAGGATGGGAAGTGCTTAACACCGTCTCTTTATAGAAGGATTACAGTCACCAATTCCGGTACAATTAGAAATGTCTCACCTCATTTACATCCTATAGCAAGTAGACAGGTGTGGATGATAAACCACGGGGCTCATACAGCGTAGACTTTGGCAGAAATCCAAGAAAAATTAATTCGTGCAAGTGCAAAAATAGGTTCAAGTTTTGTTTTGATGTAGGTGTGAAGCAAAGAATCTACAAGGAAACAAGACAGGGAAGGATGGAAGTCGGGATGGATCTACTCCACATGTCCTGGCTGTTGACGCTGAAAATCTACCATCATGATCTTTAGAGATGGTAGTCAATGACCAGTGCACAGCAGAAACATGGCTCTGCAGATGGGAGCTGTGCTCGCTGTCAGCACCAGCTGTAAATTAAGATTATATATATTTCACTGGTGAATGTGTGTCTATGCAGACACGGAAATTTCATACATAAAGTGTCCTGGGTGAAAGATCCATATTTCATCCCCTTAACTCAAAATTGTCTTTTCTACAGTCAGACTGTCTGGGTACGCTTCGTTCCAGAGATTGTGTGGAGGTCGCCTTGTGGAGTTATTTCTCTGGATTTCAGTATTCCTGTCTGTAGGTGCTGGGCGCAGTGAGGAAGTTAGTGCAGGTGAAGAAGAGTCATATGGGGAACAATAAGCATTAGTCATCACTGTTATTTTTTATGAGAGGAAATTATAAAATGGTACCATTGAATTTCCCCCCACATACACCCTTCCACTCAAAAATCATCATTTCAAAGGTACGAATGCTCCCTTCATCTCTCGGTACAGCTTTCCCCTCTGGGCTTCTGTAAAAATATCTCAGAACCTTTCTTTTCCCTATTTTTCTCTAGTAGCATCTATCTGTTTAGAATTCTAAGTGGAAATTTTTATCAACTAAAAGAGGAGAAAATTGTATCCATGCAATCAAAATAAGGGAAACTTTGGAGGACCTGACCTCAGGAATAGCAATTATTCAGCTACTCACAGACTGTTTTCCTATTCCTATGTCAGGTTGACTATCACCATGAGAGTAGAATCATCACTTATCTCCAAAGGGAAAGCAGGGAGGGTTTCTGGTTGGCTCCTCGGTGTCCCGAGAGGAGTGGTGTAGAGATCCCTGCCTGCAGTAACCAGGCTGTGTGCTCGCTAGCATAGGAGAGACATGAAACACATAACTGAACATTCCCCACAGTAGAGCATTTTGAAATGATGAGCAGGCAGCAAAGGAAGAGTTCTAAGTCACGTGCCCACCTCCCTTAGTTGATGTCTCTAAAATCCCTCCATCCTCTGCTTCTCCAGCCACCGCATCCGAGCTGCTCTCTGACCCACCTCCCTCACTCACATCTCTGGTATTTGCTTTCCAACTGGGAAACTCCCACAGCTGAATGTTGTGTTTGGTTCCTGCCTTTACTCTGAGTCTGCCACCCTGCTACTCTGCATTCACATGAGCCACGCCATCTCCTGAGTAAAGATCTGTCTGCCTAGCTTGACAGAGCTAGGGCAGACTCTCCCAGGCATTGTCTCCTTAGCCTTTCTGGGGTGATATGTAGCTGGCGTATTCTTCCTGCCTTTCTCATGGGACCAGGTAGAAAACACTAGCTGGACTGAGCTCCAAATAAAGTGGCCAGCTCCAGAATGCATGTCATAGTCTAGGTTTATGTATCGATAAACACCCAGAGGACTAAGTAGGTCTGGAATTATTAAATGTCCATGTGACCAAAGGGACCTAGACATGTGATCAGTTGGGCTGCAGCCATAATTGTCATATTGAGTCTGCCACAATATATGGCTTCTTTTCATGGTGTTTTGTGTAACACGGTTATTATAGAATTAGTTGGTTTGGCTGAAAGGAGAGATTCTAAAGGGATGGTTGCTTTCAAGTAAATATAATAGAAGTTTGTCCCTTGTGGCGTTTTCGATAAAGAAAACCAATGAGATGAGAGGTGAAAATTCACAGCTCTTTACAGGATCTGTTACCAGTTCTGTTACCTCCCATCTGGTAAGATTTGATGTATTTCAGCTGAACGCTTAAAGTAGGGGCCATTTCACCTCTAGCTTATTTTTCTTCTAAAATCTGTTCCTCCCATACAGACTCTGAGATATGAAAATACTAGAATGTCTGAAGGGTTACTCACAGCATTTCAAATCAACTGGAGAATCGTTTTCCCACTCTGGGAATGGAAACATGCTCATTTAGTCTGTTGCTCATACAGACACACATCACGTGTGTGTGGGGGGGTGTACACATATGTGCATGAATCCATAGACCACAGCAAAGTAGGAAAACTTCGAAGCAATAATTACATCATATTCTAAATTCTGACAAAAAGAATTTATCATGAGCCCTTTTTTTTTTTCTTTTTCTCTTAATTTCTTTGAAATAATGTTCAGCATTTCAGGTCCCTGAACAAAAGAAATGATGTTTGCTATTTATCCATGAAAACACACCTTCAGTGCCAAGCTAAACATGCGTGTGATATTTCCCACCATGTCTAAAAATCAACCAAAGTGGTTTCCAAACCCCTAGGGACTAACCCATCACGTAGAAGAGCAAACCTGCACAGTGGGTTCACAACAGATCCTTGTTCCAAACAGCTAATTGTGATGATTGGATTTGTATAATTCTCACATTAGGACCTTATCCTTCTGGCCCATTTCCACATGCTGCGTTTTTCATAGATCTTTGCTAGGTTGAAATCAACCTGCTAACTCTTGGAGTTTTTCTCCCAAACATCACTGTACTTGCTATGGTCCTGGGGTATGAAAGAACGGGGCGTTTCTCACTTACCCTATTTCAGACAAACAGTTAAGATAGTACGAAGCAAATACAGGAGTTCCTCGAATCATACTAGAAATGGGAAAGTTTAAAGAATGAGCCCACGTTGGAATCAGCGTCATCTCCCTTGCAGGCAGGCATCCTGGCTTCTTTTGGACTCTTAATTGGCTTTAGAATTCTTGATAGCAGTATACTTCTTTAATTATTCCACAGATAATACCCTGTCAGTTTCTGTGGCAGAAGAACTCTCCCTCGATGAACTCAGGAGATGACACTGGGGCTCAGTGTGAGCATAGGGTTTTCCCTCTAGTCTACACGTATTGTCTCGGTTTTCCTTCCCGATCTCTAGTCGAATTCCCATGTGCCCTCCAAGACCAAAAAAGTCTGATTAACTCTGGTAAAACCTAACTATGTGGGAGACTCTCATGATCAATCTTCCTATAGCACCTTATCTTGAAGTCATTACACAGAACAGGGTGACAACTTCTTGTCAACCTGTGTCTGACGCCACCCAGCTTGCTGACATACAGGGCCACAGCAAGAGAAGGAAGTGAGCTACTGGATTTCTGGACATTTTTAACATGTTAAGATATAAGAGACTGTTGAGTGGTTAGACACTTACTGAGATGGCTCCTCCAAATGCCTCTGCTTGAGGGTAAGCAAAGTAGATGGAGAGACCAGAAGACTCCCTTTTTGTCAAGAAGTTTCTGTCTTGCCCACTTTGCCGTAACTTGCTCTGGAGATAAGAGCTGTGAGCAGATCTCTGGGGAAAATACAACTTCAGAAATGCATGTAGTGCACCAGACAACTTACATACAACACATGTGCTTTAATACAATTGTCACAATTCCATAAGGAAGGAAGGATTGCCAATATTGCACCTGTGAAGCTCAGAAAGGCCGCACGACCCATGTACAGAATGAATAAAAGACCGAGAGCCAAACCCAGCTCCAGCCGGTGCACACGTGAGTCATAGTATCAGGCTCAGTCAGAAATGCTTGCCTTTTCAGCACAGGGACCTGAGTTCAATCCCCAGAACCCACATGGAAAACAAAATTCTATCCAGGCATAACACAAGCCTTTGAGCAGTCTGGAGGTAGAGACAGGTGGATTCTGTGAATTTGAGGTCACCATGGTCTACATAACGAGTTCCAGGACAGACAAGTCTGCATAGTGAGACTCTGTTTCAAAAAATAATAATGATAAAATTGATTAATTAGAATAAGAGCAGACAGGGTGATACATACTTGTACTCTCAGCACTGGGGAGGTAGAGGCAGGCGTATCCTTAGAGCTTACTGGCCGACCAGACTAGCCTAGTTGGCAAGTTCCAAGCCAATGAGAGACCCTGCCTAAAACTAAACAAACAAACAAATAAACAACACAACAAATGTGGTATTGTCTACGCATTGGTCTCCAGGGTTGTCTTCAGACCTTTGTATTCATAAGCATAGATATGCCCATGAACCAACCAACATGTATCCAGTCTATTATCTTTCTTCTCCGTTACTCCTGCATTAGATGGGAGACTTACAAGGCAAGGACTGAAAGTGTTTTGAGTAGTTTTGCTCTATTTTTTAGGACTCTTTGATACAGTAGGGAATTTTCAAGAGTCTCACAGCTGGGTCTGGGTATCAGTGATGGAGAAATGAAGTGAGTGATCCAGGAGCAGGAACCACACCATAACAGAGACAAGAGAAGAGCAGAGTTGGCTCTTCTCAATATTCACCAGAACCAGAGCTGTCTTCTATAGTGCAGGGTGCTCGAGTGGACTTGAAACCAAGCTGTAAAATGCCAGAGAGCTCCCAGATCACTGACTATGGTTTTTCTGTCTTTTGGAAAGGCTGGGCAAAGACAGCTGGTGAGCTGGGATCTGGACACGTCCTGGGTGGACTTTGTCCAGTTTTACATCCAGATAGGCGGAGAGAGCGCTGCATGCAACAAGCCCGACAGTAGAGAGGAGGGGGTCCTCCTCCAGTACAGCAACAACGGGGGCATCCAGTGGCACCTGCTGGCAGAGATGTACTTCTCCGACTTCAGCAAACCCAGGTAACCCCTCTGGTGGGCCGGCCGCGTTGTTCCAGGGGTGGTAAATATTCAGTTGTTAGTGAAAGGTCTCTGAAATGTTGACAGTTCCCAAAACAGAAAGACTCATAAAGATTTGACAGGAAAGCCAAGAATAGACAATTTTCATCTAAGTCATTAAACAAAAACCATGTGTGCTCTCATTTAATTTTTTTTAGAGCTGTTAGTTGGATATGGTAGCTTAAGCTGGAAACCAAAGCAATTAGAAGATCAAGCAGGAGGAACTTCCTGACTTCCAAAAACAGCTGAGACTATCGTGAGATCTTATCTCAAAAGCAAAAAAAAAAAAATCCTCTTTTAAAACTGTTTCTAGAGATTTTGGGAGATTTTTGACTACGAGAAAATTACTAGCCATTGCTACATCAAAGTCCCATACTCGCCTCACATTTGGGGATTTTGTTTCCGTTCTGGGCACACACCAAACATGTTCATCTGTTAAACGTACACGAGATGGAGAATTTTGTTCTGAGTTTTCACATGACTGAGCACTGGGTTGGTCCTAGACAGTGTGTGACCCAGTCTCTAGCGTTCAGATTCTCAAACCTTTTCACAGACCTATCCAGGGTTTGATTCTGCCAGCTCAAGAATGCACACAGTGAAACGGCCAGCTGCTCATGAGTTGTTGGTACCGATACCCACCAGGCAATCAGCATATTTATAAGTAGTTAAACTTAGTTCTTTTATGGTTATGTCGTGTTTGACAGTCTTTTTAATTTTATATTTCATATGAGCATAACAAAACTACTCAAAAAATACCATTTTAGAAAATATTTTTTATAATCCCTTATCTCTACCTTAATATAGACATAGGTTCTTATATATTACCACAAATCAGTATTAATTTATTTTAATGTTCTGTTCTACATATTATAATGAGCTTTTGTGTTGAAAAATATTGAAGGGAATACATATCAAATTCTTACAAATCAAATATATTTTGCTACCTAAAATTTACATATGATTGTGTATATTATAAATTGTGTACATAATAATTTATAAACTGATGGTACACATTAAAATTTTAATGGAGCCCAACCTCATGTAATGTATTGATGATTATGTTTCATCTTAAATTCACAATTTATATTTTTCACCAGGAGCAAAGGTTACTTTGAAACTTTAAAACATACTATTTAGTGTAATAACACAAAAGGAGAACAAGTTTCCCTAGATATTTCTTCTCTTTTGCTACATTGTTAATTAGTATGCATATGTGTGGGCAAGAAGAGGCCATAGCTGGGTTTCAGAAATGAGTTGCCTCCTTCCATGTGGGTCCAGGGGATCAGAGAGGTTATCAGACTTGGCAACAGGCACCTTTACTCCAACGTATTTTCTCTAAAAGTTGTGACCATATGGTGTTTCTTGCTTGTACATTATATACATACACACATGGTGCGCTTACATACATGCAGTCAAAAGACTCATACACATAAAATTAAAAAACAGATCTTTTGAAAGTTTAATACTAGTACTAAGAAGCCAGTGAGTCAGTCTGTAGAAACATAATAACAAATGAAATGGACAAAATAAGACAAAGCTTTCTTATTGCATAAGCCTCCCGTGTGATCTGTCCACCCTCAGAGCCCTCTGAAATGCCAAGGGATCAAATAAAACTAAACCTTCTCTTGTTTCCGCCTTTGTTACTTTGTCAGCTTTTAAGAACAGCACAGCCTTGCTTTTCCAGCCACAAAGCGTTTGTTTTTATGCAGATTTGTCTATCTGGAGCTCCCAGCAGCCGCCAGGACCCCTTGTACCAGGTTCCGCTGGTGGCAGCCGGTGTTCTCCGGGGAAGACTACGACCAGTGGGCTCTCGATGATATCATCATCCTGTCAGAGAAGCAGAAGCAGGTTATCCCCTTCGTCAACCCGACTTTGCCCCAGGTATATCTCACGTCAGCACACCAAGATGCAGAGGGTTGGCACAGTGGATCAGAGAAACAACAATAGACTCCCTTAAGGACCTAGGGTCTGGCAGGGAATAGGGTAACTGTTCTTGCTTTTTTTGGTTGTTGATGTTCACTTCTGTAGTAAGAAAGTTCAGTCCTGGGCTGCTAGTTCTCAGACTGTCCTGTTCAAATGTGAGAAAGCGTGTGAATTCTAGAAAGCGGAAAATTGTTAGTATGTTTAAAAATAATTAGATACATGGTGGCAAAATAATTTTGGTTCTTAAACCATCAAGAAGCAATGTTAGTGCGCTTTTTAAGTTTACTTAGTGGTTCTGGATTTTCAGGACAACGTGGTCCACATGTCACGAACCAAACATCTCTTCCTGTTTTCAGAGGTATAACACTGTCTTCCTGTTTTGTGTTGCTCCCGCTAGAACTTTTATGAGAAGCCGGCTTTTGACTACCCTATGAATCAGATGAGTGTGTGGTTGATGTTGGCCAACGAAGGGATGGCTACAAACGGCAGTTTCTGTGCGGCCACACCTTCAGCCATGGTGTTTGGAAAGTCGGACGGAGACCGGTTTGCTGTAACCCGAGATCTGACCCTGAAACCTGGATATGTGCTCCAGTTCAAGGTATCTGTGCGACAGGGCTCATCCCCAGCGCGGGGGAGCAAGAGCTCCGACTTCTGCACGCATGGCTCCCAGAGAACAGAGTTTCCCACTCTCTATTAAAGAGGGGACACGCTTGAGTAAAGGCTCCCCAGTTTCAGGATGGTAAAACTTTTCTACTCTACTCATGAGGGAAACAGTTGGCTAGATTTGGGGGAGTCCCAGAAGTTGTACCTTTCGCTTTATATTGTTCATGCAACTCTTCCATCATTGAAAATATAATTGAGTTTTTCGATCGGAGTTGATGCAATGAACCCTTTACTTTCAAATCATTATTGGTATGCCTGTCTGTCTCACCAGCGGCTTGGGACTTGTGTTTTTCTGTGTTTTGGTGATCAAGCCTAGGACCTTGCACACAGTAACTGGGCTCCAACCCCAGCCTGTATCAACATGCGTTGACTACAGCATTTCCCATTTCCCTTTCTGAAATTTGATGGATTTTTTTTCTCTGCCGCTCATCACTTTCCTGAAAACATATTGGTTTTCATGCTGGATAATGTATCAGCAAAAATAGTGAGAATGTACCTTGACAGACCCTTGCCTCCGAACGTAATCAAAATTTCATTGTGCTTGTTTATAATAAAACCCCATTGGTGAGTTCTGGAGTCAGAAGGTGCACAAATACACCTTTCTTATGTAGCAATAAGATACAGACCCAATAGTTTACAAGTGGAATTGCTGAAGCGATCAGATGTTTGTGAGTGGCTCTTCTGTATGATTACTACAGGCCTTTACACAAGGTAGTCAGCCATCAACAGGGACAAAGTATGTCCTAGCAGCAATGAGGAAATGGTAATCTACCACTGTTCATATTCGTATATTAAACTACAATGGAAAAGCATCAGTAACAGTTCATGTCTTCATAGGCGTGTGTTGGTGACACTTGGTATTAATTTAAAATGTCTATAGAGTACTATACCATTCCTCATCTGATACCTCTTCAATTTAATCAACCCCAAATATCATGGTAATATAGACATTAGATTCTCCTTGGTGAGCGTCTGAAACTGAAAAAGCTAACTAGGAAACATATAGTGAATTTTTCAGATATTTAAAGGGGCAACAGTGCATATTAAGAAAATCCCAATTCTCACATCACAACTAAATACCTAGTAATTTGTGCTCAGTAGTTAGTGATGGATAGTAATTATGGATTACACATGGATTGATAGTTAATATATACTAGAAACCCTTAAAATATCACTTGGTGACTTTTATATAAAATGTATATTTTATATAAAAAATATAGTTCTGGTGCCTTCTTGGTAGTTGCCACATGACAGATTAGTGGGTTGCTAGGAATATCGAAACCAAAACCATGGCCCTAGTCCTCAAGAAGCTCAAAAACTAGAGGATAAGTCAGAAAGGTCAGCAGTCACGGTGTTGTCAGAGGCATTGTGGTAGAACAGGTCCCAGGTGCCGAGAGAGAGCCCTGCACAGTGCTGTCCCCACCGACTAGATAAGGAGGGGTCCGGCAGTGATGGCTACCAAGACCGAACTAAGCAGCAGTAGAGTTCATTCAGACACTGGTTTAGGAAAGAACTTCCTTAAGCTGTCATCGCAAACCTAGGGGGGTGCTAGAAGGAACCCTTCAATAAAAAACACACAGAACTTTAAAAATTTCGAAGTTTCCAAGTGTTTTCACATTTTTGACTCAACAATACCACACCCGAGAGCTCTCTGGTGGGAATCGCTCGGGAGGAGAGCTGGAGGGAACTTCTTTCTTTTTTTCTTTTAACTCCTATTGCTTCTTTGTGGGTTTCATATTATGCATCCTGATCACACCCATCTTCCTTCCCATCCTCCCTCCCACACAGTCGCCCTCTGCCCTTGCAACTTCCCATCCCAAGACAAAACAAAAATTAATAGAAAAACAAAAAAAAAAAGAAAAAGAAAGGAAAGGAATCTTGTCGTCGAAGTTGTGCTGTGGCCCGTGGAGTCACACAGGTCACCCTTCAGTGCATACATCTTTGTCTGTATTCATTGCCAGGAGTCTTTAGTCTAGTTTGAGGCTCTGGCCTGCGCTGCACCATCTATAATGGCTCTCACGGGGACTCCTCTTGGCTATCCTGTTGCCCTGTGTCATGGAGATCCTGTCATTTTGATTCTGTAGGTTCATCCCCTTCACCTGCTCCAATAGTTCATAGATTCTGTGGATGTTGGGGTGGGTCGACTCAGCTTTGGTTCTGGGTCTGGGTAGTAGTTAGGTAGGATAGATAGATAGATAGATAGATAGATAGATAGATAGATAGATGATTGATAGATGATTGATAGATAGATGATAGATAGATGATAGATAGAGAGAGAAGATAGATAGATAGATAGATAGATAGATAGATAGAGAGATAGAGAGATAGAGAGATAGATAGAGAGAGAGAGGGATGGATAGATAGATAGATAGATAGATAGATAGATAGATAGATAGATAGATGATGGATGGATGGATGGATAGATAGATAGATGGATGGATGGATGGATGGATGGATGGATAGATAGATAGATAGATAGATAGATAGATGATGGATGGATGGATAGATAGATAGATAGATAGATAGATAGATAGATGGATAGATAGATAGGTGGATAGATAGGTGGATAGATAGATAGAGAGATGATAGATAGATAGATAGATAGATAGATAGATAGATAGATAGATAGATAGATAGA